TCTTCGCCTCATTCAGTTTCTTGACCTCAAGACTCATCTACCCGATATCATATTCGCCATTTCTATTTGGGTGTCTAATAGGCATATCAAACAAAATCCCTATCTTTTCTCCAAAAACCTGTCCATGCCATCGTCTTTCCCCCATTGTAGTAAATGGCAAGTCCATTCTTTGAATCAGGCCCAAAACCTTGAAGTCACCTTGACTCCTCTCTTTCTCTTACTTGCCACAGTAAATCCTGTCTGTTCTACCTTAAAATTATTTTAGAGGATGACCACTTACCACCAACACTGTTGCCCCTTGGGTTTTCCTTCTACCCTTACTGCTTAACCAGAAGCCATAGTGGCCCCCTGATACCTCCCTGTCCTCTCCCACCACTCTCTCCCTATTCTGGCTTTCTCAGTGTCCCTTGAATAATCCATTAGCTCCCTCCATTATGCCTTTGGACCTGCTGCTTCCTCTTCCTGAATCACTCTTCCCCATATATTCCCATGGCCCACTCCCTCACCTCTGTCAGATTTTTACTCAAGGATTACATTATTATTGAGACTTTCTCTGGCCACCTGTGTTAAATTGTATCCACATTCCCTGTCCCCTTTACCCTGCTTAATTTTACCCACAGACTCACCATCTGGCATGCTAGGTTTACTTGTTTGTTCAACTACTCTTCTACTGGAATATAAGCTCCACAAGGGCAAGGCTTTCTGTCTGTCACTATTACTGATGGAGTCACAACATCTAGAACAGTGCCTGGCACTGAGTAGGTATCCAAGAAATGTTTGTCCGATGAATGAATGAATGAATGAATTCAGTGAGGACCTTCATTGGGAGATATCTTTTAGCATAAAGAGGAAATTATGGATTCCTGTTTCCCAAGGATACCATTTCTAGCATATACCTGACACATCAGCTGTCAATTATAAATTACTGCATAGTTGAATGGGTAAGTGTAAAATAGAGAAATGGAATGTTTTTGCGTAATGAATGCCGAACTCACCTAGTACTTTGCCTCTGGCACTAGTTCTGGCATAGATGTCCTCAGGAAATCAACTTTCAGGGCTTTTTATGCCTCACATATTCCTGCCATCCTTTAGTCATTATGTGTTTCTTGACTCCATTTCTGGATTTGGCCTGGATGTTAAACTTATCGCTGTAAACTAAGACTCCCTTGCCTATGCATTTTGAAGCCTTAAGGACTGCCCCCATCCATGTGCTTTTCCTCTTGCTATTTAAGCTCCAAATGCTCTCTTGGATTCTGTCTTTCTAGACAGGGATCCTAAGCTGATCCATCCTCACACCCTCTGTCTCTCTTTTGTGGGCCATTGCCACCTCTGTGTGAGTCTGAGCTTTGGCTAGCCACCCGGTCTGGGCATCAGGATTGCCTAGGGAGTTTTTTGTTTTGGGGTTTTTTAAAAATATATTTTATTGATTTTTTTACAGAGAAGAAGGGAGAGGGATAGAGAGTTAGAAACATCGATGAGAGAGAAACATCGATCAGCTGCCTCCTGCACACCCCCTACTGGGGATGTGTCTGCAACCAAGGTACATGCCCTTGACTGGAATCGAACCCGGGACCCTTCAGTCCGCAGGCCGGCGCTCTATCCACTGAGCCAAACCAGTCAGGGTGCTTAGGGAGCTTTTTTAAAACCAGAAATGCTCAGTCCCCCACACCACACCTATTCTGATTCTGTGAGGTGTTAGGTGGGCCCTGGGCATCTATACAGTTAGAAAGCAGCCAGGGTTGAGAAACCACGGGCTTGAGTGGGACATGATAGGAGTACTGCTTATCTACAAAGAAACATTTCCAGTGCTTTACCCAACACAGCATTTCGTTGGCCCTTGTTGCCATAGTGATCTCTTCAGGGATGCTTGACAACAGCTCCCAGAGCCCTTTCTTAGTATTCCTGTAGTCTTTGACTTGTCCAGTTGTGTTTTGGGATACTCTCTTCTTCCTGGCATTTTGCTATTGATACATCCCAAACTCTAATCATCCTAACTCTGAAGTTATTCTGCATTGTAGGCTAACATCAGGCTTTGATGGCAGCATTTTGATCTTGGTAAAGTTAACGAAGAATAGGGAGAGGGGAGCAGAGTGTATTTGAGTTATAGGAAATCTTGGGTTCTAGATCCTGCATTACCATATACATTACTACATACATTTGAATTCTTACTGACTTGTGAACATGCATGGTAGAAAGCTGAGATGTGGTATAAAGCAGGGTTCTCAACTTTGGCCCCATGACATTTTGGGTTGGATGATTTTTTGTGGTAGAGGCTGCCCTATACCTTGTAAGATGTTTAGCATCATAGTGGCATTCCTGATTCTACCCACAGATATCAGTAGCACACACCCTCCCCTGAATCCCTGCCTTAGTGGTCGTGACAACCAAAAATGTCTTCAGACACTGCAAAATGTCCCAGGGTGGGCGGTGAGTTAACCATCAGCAGTTGAGACCTACAGTGGTTCTCAACCTTCCTAATGCCGCGACCCTTTAATACAGTTCCTCATGTTGTGGTGACCCCCCAACCAAAAAATTATTTTCGTTGCTACTTCATAACTGTGATTTTGCTACTGTTATGAATCGTAATGTAAATATCTGATATGCAGGATGTATTTTCATTGTTCGCGACCCACAGGTTGAGAACCGCTGCCTAGAATACGTGATGGTGAGGCACAGGCTGTGCCCTATATATTGGATTTTATGTTTGACTCTGCCTTTGTATTCTCTGAGTGCCTTTAGGCAAATTCTTAACCCTTTTGAGCCTCAGTTTCCTCACCAATAAAATGGGAATGGTCATAACTATCTCATGGTTGCTGGGAGTATTCGCTAAATTAATGCATATAAATTATTTAGCACCTGTCTCAGCACACAGTAATAAACAGTCAGTAAATGGTAGCTATTTTTACTGCAGTGGGCTCATGTTGTAGACATATTTAGCTTAAGTGCTCAGCAAAGAGAGAGGAAAAAAAAAGAGAGATGAATCTGAGTAGTACAGATGAATCTACCCCACTGAATGATATGTCCCTGGGTCAGCCCATGGTGGAAGCCAGTGGGAGCTGGTCCTCCTGTTTTCTGTCTTGCCTTTCATTGCTTGATCTTCTAGCATTGGGTTCTCAGCCTCAGCACTATGGACATATGGAACCAGATCATTCTTTGTTGTGGGGCTACCCTGTGCATTGTAGGGTGTTGATTGGCTTCCCAGGCCTTGATCCACTATACGCCAGTAGGACCCTTCCCCAGTTGTGATAACCAAAAATGTTTCCAGACATTGGCCAATGTCCCCTGGCGGGATGGCACAATTACTCCCATTTGAGAACCAGTGATCTAGCCTGATCAGCTATCAGTCTAGAGATTTTCAAGGTTGGTTTGGCTTTTCTCAGTTTTTTTTTATCTTACTTGTTGACTTAAAACCTAAACCCTGAGAGGATGAGTTGCAACTGAATTTTTATTAATGAGCCAGAACTCAGTTGGACTCATCAGTTCACTTAATTCTCACCATCCCCTTCCCCTGCCCTAAATTTTTAGGCTAAGTGATAAACATTTAAAAATTTTTCATTAAGTTGTGATTAACTTTAACTCTGGGATTTGCTCTCAGGTCAGAGCATGCACATTTGACTCTCGGGT